TCCAATTGCGATAACCGCACTTACAGCTACCGGTCTAACTACGATCCTCCTAGGCACAGTTATTAGGTCAAAATGAGTGCCACGAGAAACAACACTTTTAAGAGAGTACGGTTTTTATAAAGGTTAGCAAAGTAAACAGGCGCTGAAGAGTCTGAACTCAAAGTCAGTCTTTGAATATTTCAAACTGAAGTTTTTAGATTAAGTGAGTGTTTATTATGAAAGTAACTATTTCCTTGATAGGTTGACGAAGGGAAATGCAACTTGACGCATTCGACTCTAATACTTAAAAAACTATAGCATTCATCAAGGAACCATTTTATTGATAATTAGAACGTAGAACCTTGATAAATTGATATCAGATTCAAGCTTCTGGAAATCCATTCACTTTCGTTACTCTTTATTAAATATCAGCATCTTCTTAAAAAGCCTTTCCTTAGTGTCCGAAGTCAAATTAACCATTTCTAAAATTTGAATTCAGATCCAGATTTTCTGATCATGGTCATCTTTCTTCAACTTTCATAGGAATTCGCTAGTGTATTAGAAAATACTATATTTCACGAAAGCCCTCTAGAACTGATAATTGTACCTATGGTTATCATAATTGACTCTGAAATCATAGGCACGGTTTTCTTAGTTGTAGCAATAACCGTACCAATGGCTCACATAGTGAACCCGTAACCATACCTAAGGTTATCGTCATCGTTGTCTCACTAACATTCATAGCGATAGTCGAAGCTATACTCCTTACTAGACGGTACTATAACACATAAAGCATTTCCTTCATACTTGATGACTGCGATTCAATTAAGAAAAGGGTCAGCGGAACCATGAAAACTTATGCCAATCTCTAATGTAACAGCACCAATGATTGATGCAAGCATGTAGGTGCCTGAAAAATGATCAAAATCGACCATATCAGTGAGCTCCTAATATTCTTACCTACCATGCTCGCCTTAAAATCTAGGATTGAAACCGTATTCTTGATTTGAGAGTGTAGTCGCATTCGAGACACTTATGCAGGAATATAATTATCAGGCTAACGAGGTAGTCGGTATAAAAATGAAGACCTACAGTGGTGGCTGCTAGACGAATATTGTCTGTTATGTTGAGCCTGAACTAGTCAATAAAATTCTTTGAATCTGCCATACTCATTGGTTTCCACTCTCTAATTTCCATTATTAGCATTCATGTTGACAGTCAAAACTGTAACGTCGATTGGAGGAATTATGTGATTGCCAATCTTCCTTTTCGCCAACTGGCTGAAATTCGCTAATTGGCGAATATACTAACGAAAAATGGTCTAGTTGTAGCTGACTTGATGTGGATATGGGTGCGGGTGCAAGTCTGAGGGTTGTATATGCGCTTAACCTATACTCATACCCACGATCCATACACATCCTATAATACTTAAATATTCTATCATCAATTTAGCTGGGCCATAATTCTACGGATTAAATTTGGCGAAATACACACTAGCGACTCACGAATTGATCAATACATTATGACGAAAAAAGTTTATTGGCGAATTTCACACTGGGAATTCGCCAAATTGGCAAATTTCTCCATGACAGTCGCCCATTGGTAAACATACTAAGGCAAAAATAAATATTTTTTGATAAATTTCATACCAGAGATTCACCTATTGGCGAATGTCGCAGGGAAATTCGCCACGAGTGAGTGCACTGTTGGCGAAATTCCGAATAGGTGAACTTACAGAGAGACAACTGAGTGTATGACAAGACCGATAATAAAAAATCTTTTCCAAGATGTGCATGACTACAAAGCTAATAATAGAATCGATAGGGTGACCAATGTCTACGGTGATGGTGAGTAAATGGACACTGCTGGTTACCCTGAGGCTTCATAAATCTGAAAATGCTAGAAACCATCTATCACCGTGGGCCTCCGCTCTAGTAGCGGGCATTCTAGGACTACATGGTAACTCTTAAAAGTATATGATTTACAGCGATGCATTATCGTATATGAAAGCTTTTTTCCTAAATCAGTATGATAGCGATGCCAGTTTTATGACCGATATTGTCACAGGAACCTACGGTGATGATGGTTGCAAGGGCATTACTGATTACTCTGAGCATCAATAAGCTTGTCAAATGCTTCAAAGCGGTCATCGCTCTAGGTTCCTGCTCTCTGACCAGCATTTCAAAATTTCATCATGATGTACAAAACTATATATTTGAGTACGCGGCGATACATCATGTGAAAACTTTTTCCAGAGACTGTGTACGACGTTAGTTAGACGACTGACAGATTCACGAAATCATACGATAGTGATAACTAGTTTACCATTACTGGTTCCTCTGGTCTTCAGTGAGTCTGGAAATATTAGAAGCTATCTGCTACTGAAGGTCTCCGCTCTCCGAACCAACATGATTAGGATTAATGGTAGTGCGTAAAAACACGTAATTTAGATCTGCTCACTATAGCAGATGAAAATTTTCTTCATCGATGAATGTGATAATCATGCCGGTTATGGCACCGATAGAGTCAAGAAAAATCCCGGTGGCGGGCATTAAAAGCGTACTGCTGGTTATCCTAAGCTTGATGAGTCAATAGAATGTTATAAACCGGCGATCACCGTACATTCCTGATATTTTAACAGCTATTGTTGACCTTAAAAGTGTTTGTTGACGCGGCATACCTAAGTTTTTTGTATAAGCATCTTTCATACTCAGATAGCCTTGCGCTAACGAGTATCAGCTATATGAGCATCCTAATGTTATCTGGCGTACGCCTACAGCCCGCATCGTATTGAAGGAGCGATCAGCATACAAAAAAAGTTTATTAAATTTTGTGAAGTATGCCGATAAATTACAGAAAGTAGACGAATATAAAATATATGTGCTCTTCTCGATTAAGAGATGGTCAGTTTCACTTTTAATTGGACTCAGTTTCAACTGAGTAGCTTTATTTGTAGTATATTATGAGCGGTGCTTACGGTGCTCGTATACCGGTGGAACGGTGAACGGTGCACCGCTACGCCGGTGACCGGTCCACCGGTATCACCGGTTGGTACGGTGCACCGGTGGACCGGTGAAACCGGTGAACGGTGAACCGGCGGACCGGTGAGACCGGTGAACGGTGAACCGTAGACCGATCACACCGGTGACCACCGTCACCGTTGCATCCCTAATCATCATCATTATCATCATCATCATCTTCACAAACAAATAATAATATACATGTTCCAACAACAACACCTATTCAACAATTCAATATTCAAAATTTAGGTCCTGGTGCACCATCCAATTCTCAACAACAACAAAACCAATCAAATAATTCATCACTTGATGCAATAAAAAATTATTTAAAAGCACCACCATAAAATTTAAACCTAGATGATGAACAATCAACACCTCATTGATGATTATTAAAATATAAAAATATATTTTATGTTATTTGTAAGAACATTTTTTCTTTTTCTTTTTTCCTCTTTAAACTCTACTAATTGTATTTTTTCTTTTTCTCTATCGTTGTTGTTGATGATGTTGTCTATCTTTTTTTTTGGCTCGTACATAACATGCACACATACATATATATGCACACGATAACTTGTTTCTTGTATGTCATATATGTGTGTTTTATCAATCATCAAAAGAAACTAAAATACTGCCTGTGGTCTTCTTTTTTCTGTTTCAACAAAAGAAAAAACATGCAAGTTTTCTTTTGTTTTCTTTTGCGTTATTTGTTATGTATGTGATATGAACAATAAATAATAGTATTTTTACAATAATGCGATAGCAAAAAAACAAAGAAATCAAATGTCTATATATTTCATTTTTAGGTTTTCTTTGTTTTTTCATTTATTCGATCACTATTGAACTTTTGGCTCATCTCTCTTGAGTTATGTTCTAATTAATATGATTTATAAAATAATTTAGTTAAAACTATATCTATACACAACTATAAATATTATTTTCACCTGAGATGAAAACATTCAGACTAATGTTTGTTCTACTTTATCCGATAAAATCAAATGCATCATTTGTTTTTTATTTTTTCGTTTAAGGTTTATAAAGATCGTAAAAAATAAGATAATCAACTGTATTCAATAAAACATTCATTAACGAAATTTCATGGCAAATCCGATCGGTAGGAGTTCTTTGATTAGAAAAAAAAACAGACATCTTTCATATTTAATTATAGTAATCAAGAATAAAAAGAACTTTGTTTTCATGAAACATTTGCTAGACATAGAAATATTCTTAAAATAATTCACACATGAGAAGAACGTGAACGTTTATATATTCGAACAAAACTTTATGAAAGTAAGTATGTAGAAACAAAGAAAATATGAAATCAAATACAAAAAAAAATTAACTTTATTTTGCAGCTTACTTGATTATTTAGCAGAAAATGATATAAGCTAACCACTGATTAAACATTTTCTTTATCAAATAAGTCAAGTATGAATAAAAATAAAATCAAAATCCATAAATCACCTTTTTTATTCAAGTAAATCTTTTAGACACTTGATTTTCTTCATTCATTAGATTATGTTCATATAGACGTAGATCTACAAAGACTTATTAATCTTAAACGTTTATATTTTTTTAAATTTTATTTCAAGTTAAACTAGACAATAGCTTTAATAACAAATGATTATATAGTCAAACTTTGCGACTTTCACATTGTACATAATTTACGACGTGTCAATGAACAATAGAGGACGGGTGATGATTTGTAGGTAAATCAGCTCAATAAAATTTTAATGATGACTTCATGTAGATGATAGAAACTATGATTTAGATTTTTTTAAAATGATTTTAGTAGATGATGATAAGATTTGAACTCAATTACATTTTCGTTTTTATAAATATTACATAGGAAGATTCTGATTAGCAAATTTTACATACATTTATTCACGTATGTACTTGCTATTTAATGCAAACTAAAGATATTATATACTAACAGATAAGTCTTAGAAAAATTAATTATATTTTCTATCAAAAGAGATAATATATTTGGATTTAGCAAAAATAATGGCATCGGTTTATGTGTGTGTTTCAAACTTTTCTTATGAATTTGATCTGGGATCACAATTAGACTCCTGATCTATATTTGAGCATATGAGAAAAAAATAAGTTAAAAAATCAAAGTCTTAAGAAAAGTTTTTACTACGTATAAATCGATCTATCATTAGTACAGAATTTGTTTAGCTTGCATTATGTAGTAAGTACCAGCATCAAGAAATCACAAGTTTAAAATTTGTTAATCAGAATTTCTCTATGTAATACATAGAAAATTAAAAACATAATCTGGTCCAAATGTTATCAATATCTACTAAAATCATTTAAAAACTTTAAAGTATAGTTTTGATCATCTAGTACAAGAAATAATCATTAAAATTCAATTAAATAGATTTCTCATCAAACCGTCATCTATTTTTAAAAATTAATTCAATAGTTTGTTTTTTTTTCGTACTTTTAGTTATCAATATTAGCACAAGATGGTGATGCATGTTATCTTGTATTAAAAATTTTATCAGATAAAATATCAACAGTTGCTGATGTATTTAGTTTAGCTTTGATAGCATTTGAAATAGTTAGTAATTATGATTTACCAGTTAATAGTGATCTTTGGATAAATATTAAAGAGTTAAAATTATCATTAAAAAATAACATTAGTATTAGCTAATCTAGTTTTAAAAGAACTTCTTTTTCGAGTGATACATTCAAATTATAAACAATGATCAACAGCAAAAGATGTACTTTATAGTCGTATGATTCGAGAAGTAAGAAAATGAATTTTTCTTTCTTGAGCTAATTATTCTTATGATTCAATCAGGGTTGCCACCTCTTCCGCTTTTTGCGAAAAGTTTCCGCTTTTTCACCTTTTTTCCGCTGTTCCGCTTTTTGACATAAAAAGCTTATGTATTTTCAAAATATGTACAGAGCAAAAATTATTATTGTCGAGTAAAGTCTTACTATTTACACATCCAGTTAATTATCACTCTTATTATATCATCCATAAAATCAATGGACGAACACATAAAGTTTTTCTATGTTAGAGGGTTTGCGCACTAAGTGCCTGTTCGGAAATTAAAAAAATCATTCTGCTTTCAACTGATAGTTAACTCCTTTTCAAATTCTTTTGCCTTATTTACACAAAAAAAAAAATCTCAAATCCGAAAATTTAAAGGGTTTTTTGTGATTCACAGATATTGAGATGAAAAAAGGAAGATGAAACAGATCGTGAAAATTTAATAACAGCATCATTAATTCTGAAATCAAATGAAAATAAAAATGTTAAAGCCATACTAGATGCTTATCAAAAGAGAAAAAAAGGCATGTTTAATCCATAATAACTACTTAATCCTCAGTTCGTATCATTTTTAAGAGAGTATTAAACAGATTCAGCTCAAGTTCTTTGTATTGCCTCTAACGAACATTTCTCAGGAGATGATGGTGGAAAAAATGATACTGATTGTCACATAAAGTTGAAAAGACATAACAACAGCATGAAATCATTTCGTATAAATCGGCAACTGATAACGTCAACAATGAAATCTAACAAATAGGTTCAACAAACAGCAGCTGCAGAAGTTACTTTTCTGTAGCATGGAATGAAGCATTGTCATTCTTATTCATTTCAACAATATTTTATGTTTTGAAATTTTATTAAAATAAAAATAAAATGCTATACATATGAAAAACGCTGAAAAATCTCATAAATGCTAAAAATCCACAATGAAATAAGTTTTCGCTTTTTCTGTTTTTTGTTTCCGCAATTTTCCGCTTTTCTAAGTCAACTTTCCGCTTTTTCGACTTCATGAGGTGGCATCCCTGGATTCAATATAGATTTCTCGTGTAGGTTCGCCATTTGCATTTAATCAACGAAAATACGAACAGGTTTGATTAATGAATTTCTAATATTTCATGGTAGTTATAACAATTTGATATATGAAATTTCGTCTTTTTTATATTGATCGATGGCTTCTCAGGATAAAATCGTCAAAGAATAAAAGAAAGAAACCAATAATTATGTTTAATTTATTCAATAGAAGTTTAAAAAATTATTGTTCAATTGGAAGACAAACCTTTTTTTTTCCAAATTTTTTTCTACTCAACAATCTACGTTAAGTAATATTAATCGATGATTGTTGTATGATATCAACTTATTCTATTTCGATCATTTCAACATCATTAGATGTAAATATTTTCTTATCTGCTTTTGCATTGAAATCATTCTCATATTCTACTAAACTCAGGCATCTTTTTTTTTCTAAAAAATGAAAAAACAATAGGATATTATCGATAATAATTCATCATTAAATATTGCCTGAAGTTGGTCTATAATCTAATTTTTGTTTGAGTTCAACAAAGAAATAGATAGTTCACAGAAACGTGCCGGAATAAAAAAAAGTGGAGGAGGTCCTAGTATATAAAATTTAATGTCGTCTTTACTTACAAGAAACAGCTATTTACATTTCCTAGTTTTTCCATAAAAAAAGTGATGATAGGGGAGGGGGTGAGCACTGCGAAGCTCCAGTTCTTCTCCTCAGGATACTAGTGTTGTTCAAACAAATAGAAATTATAGGCCAAATCCGACCACAGCCTATACATGATGAATGCGATTCACCTATTGCTTTTCAAATGTGGGAGGATCCGGACCCCTTCTATCCTGCCTCCATAGGAACATCCCTGATAGATCTGAGAGAACTTCACACATTGGTTAATCTATAGAATTTAAAAAACTTGGAAAATTAGAATCAATAATCTGCTTGGTATTGCCTGAAGGTCAAGTCAACTTAGGTGGCAGATGACCTTTCTTTTTTTTTTCGTTTGTTGGTAGCTCTGATAAACATATATTGATTAAATATCAATAATGATCTCGACATGATATCTTTGTCTTTTATTTATATTATGTTAACTCTTCCATAAGCATATGTCATGATATGTTTAGAGACAAAATTATTCTTTATCAATGTGATTTGCTTAACTAACAATGCACATGTATTTCTGAATAATGAACGTTTCTAAAATTACATTTTATATATGTTAAATTCTTGAACATACTTTGAAAATTTCAGTTTTGGAGACTTTTGTTGAACAAAAATATCACTAGGAAAACTAGCACTAGTGGTATGATCTAAAACGATCATCGCTTTTCTACTTTACACTTTTTATTTAAAAATAACTATCAAATACAGATAGCATTTTTTGAAAGCTAAATGATAACTTCTTTAGATCATTTATGAGATTGTAGAATCTTTCTTGAGAGTTTTTCAAAAAAATCAATTTATTTTTCATTAACAACCTGCTGAAATACAAATATATAAACTAAGAAATAAATAGTCTCATAGTTAAATATGAAATTCTAAATTAACTTTATCTTTTCGAGTGCATCGTATAACTTTTAGATTCGTTTTCTCAAATGATTAGAGAATTATTTTTTAACTAATTAATTTTAATTAATTGTCAACTAAACTCTACAAGTTCTCATATCCACTATAAAATAAATAAATGAATAGTGTATTACTTTTCATCATATGACATATTAGAAAAATGAAAAAAAGAAATAAAAATATTCATTCATTCATTCATTCTTTCAATTCATTATTAATTTTGATGATAGAAAAATTGTGTTATTGTGTGTATTGGCGACAACGGTCAAATAGAACGGATATGTCTATACATATAAACATTGACTTTTCATATGTTGAAAAAAAATAGATAAGTGAAAGTAAATATGATCAACTCATGTATTGGATTAAATGATTTACCCGATGAAATTCTTATGATCATTTTCAAAAAACTCAACAATCTTGATATACTTTATTCTTTCCATGGTGTCAATAAACGATTAAATAAAATTATTCAGGATCCAATTTTTACAAGTCATTTGACTTTTGTCGAATGGTCATCATATAATTTTATTGATTTATTATCTTGTAATACTATACTTAATCGATTTTGTTTACAAATTTTACCTGAAATTCATAATCAAATCAAATGGCTTGATCTTGAATCATCATCCATGAAACATGTTTTACGTGTTGCTCATTATCCGAATTTAGATAGTCTTGCCCTTTATAATACTGATGAAGAGTCAATTCGATGTCTTTTTACTGGTATGTAATTTTCAATTGAATTCTTTCTATTTTAAACAAGTCAAAGATTTGTCAAAATTATTCACATAAATAACTAGATTGTTTGAATATACAGTAAAACCTCCCTTAGATGGGCACCTACGGGACTTTTTCAAATCGCCCACATTACGGAGGTGCCCGCGTTATAGAGTTTTTTTACAAATACTGATCATAAATATGTTTTTTGCAAGCTACGTCATAAAGAGCACCCACACTTATATATTACTAATCGATCTTTAGACCTCTGACTATGTTCAATATTTTACTGCGATCATCTTATGTCTTTTCTTGATCTAGGCTTATTTTCTATTTTCGTATTTACAATCAAGCTTTTCGAAAAAAATCCATAATTGAACTTTTATCATTGACGACACAATAAGAAATGTATAGATGAGCTATTTTCTTTGTTACGTCGGACTAACCTTTCTCTCTCTTATTCTCAGTTCAACAAAGAGTGACGAGAAGAAAAAGAACAGTGTATTGATTAAAATATTCACTATATTTGCCCATATAAGAGAGGTTCAAATATACAGTATGGCCTAGAAAAAACAGTGCCCACTCTAGAGGTGGAAGGTGCCCTTGTTAGAGAGGCTCACTTCCAGCAAAAATCGATCGGTCGTTCCGCCGAGTGCCCATATAAGCTAGGTGCCCTTGTTATAGAGGTGCCCATATATAGAGACTTTACTGTATATATATGTTGTAGGCAAAATTGAAATCCGGGCAAATTTAAAATTTGCCCAGTCAAAATTGAAATTTTAATTTTGACTAGGCAAAATTAGAATTCTAATTTTGACCAAGAATTTATCAGTCAGAACTAAAATTTCAATTTTGACTGGGCAGATTTAAAATTTGACTATAGGTTATATCATTTAAATAAAACAAATAATTACAACAAATAAAATAATTTTTTATTAATTCTTTTTAATAAAATGGCTAATAAAAAAATCTTTTCAACTATTCATCCATATTCTTGGAAGCACTTTGTTCTGAGTGACACTTTGCAAAACAGAAAACTCCGATTTTTCTACATTCACATTGCTTTGTAGTGCTTCATAGTCCCTAATGAAAGTATTGAGTTCAAGGTATCCCAAAAGGTACCCTGCTATCAGTATGTCACAAAAACTTTTAAGTATCCTGCAAGGAACTATATCAGTACCTCATCGTAATCGGGTACCTACTTACGTACTTCCCAGTTTCTATAGCATGCATGAAGAATTTTTCAATAATTTAGTCCACTGAACGCCTACAAGCATTCTGAAGTCTAGATAAAAGACCAGAAAAGCATCTTCACGTATTTCAGTCCTTTCATTAAGGATTATTAAGCACTACAAAGCCATATGAATGTAGAAAAATGGGAGTTTTTTGGTTTACAATGTGTCATTCAAAACGAGGTGCTCGTAAGAATATGGATGAATAGTTGAAAAGATTTTTTGTTAACCATTTTATGAAAAAAAACATATTAAAAACTTATTCTATTTCTTGAAATTATTTTGGTTTTATTTAAATGATCTAATCTCTAGTCAAATTTTAAATCTGCCCAGTCAAAATTGAAATTTTAATTCTGACTGATAAATTCTTGGTCAAAATTAGAATTCTAATTTTGCCTAGTCAAAATTAAAATTTCAATTTTGACTGGGCAAATTTTAAATTTGCGCGGATTTCAATTTTGCCTACAACATATATATTGTCTTCATAAGCTTTTCTTACTATATACAATATATTTAGATGAAACTCTTTCATCAGGTATTTTCAAAAATCAAATTACAAAACTTTTAATTACAATAAATAAAAATGATGATTATTTTGAGATGCTACTATCAGTGGTAAATATATATGATTACATCTTCAGTATTTTTACTCTTCTGATTGTTGTCACATTACATGAATCATCATATAATAATTGTGTTCGGTTAAATTTTAACGATTCATTACATTCTAATATTCGTTCTTCAACTCTTTTGAAATTGAATGTCAAAGTACAATGCTTTAAGGATTGTCTTTATCTTCTTGATGGTCGTTTTAATCAACTTCATACATTCTATGTTAATTTGTGTCATATTCGTCGTCCATTCGATCATCGCTTACACGGCCGTCATCTATATGAAATGATAAATCAAGTTAGTTTCACAATAAAAATCTATATGCTCAAATAACAAAAGAAATTTTGTTTTTTAGGATGATTTACCAAATCTAAAGTGTTTTTCTTTGTCTTCGAATTATGAAACATTTGATTATGATGAATTAATTCTACCACTTCTCTATCGAATGTCAAATCTAGAACAACTCGGTTTATATCTTCTTGTTTATGTCAATGAAACATTTATTGATGGAAACCATTTGAAAAAAAAGATTATTAATCGTATGCCAAGATTAAATCAATTCACATTTTATATTCGGTCATCTATATATACTGGTAATAAATTCAATTTGCCATCAACAGAAGATATTCAACGCACATTTATTGACTTTCGAAATAATGAGATTATTTCTTATGTTAATTATTTTCTAGAAGCAAAAGAAAGTCAATGTCATATATATTCATATCCACCTCTAATGGAATATTACGGCGATATTACAAATGATTTTCCAGGTGGATTATTCGAATATGTTCGTGTAGTGTCATTAAATGATGAACATCCTTTTGAACATGAATTTTTTCTTCGAATTCAGAAATCATTTCCATTTATGGAACAATTAACTGTGATTAATCATAAACCACAAAACAGAAAACAATCTTATGAATCAAATATTGATAATCAAAACTTATCTGTTATTGAATATTTTTTTCTCAATACACTTGATATTATCAATACCCATGATGATTATATAGAAGAATTTCTATTCGATACTAAAACGTATTTTCAAAATAATGTTTATCTTCAAATCAATTATGAATCTTTAAAACGAGTAACACACAATTTTACAAGAGATGCTACACGAGTTAATTGTACCAAAATCAATAAATTATATGTACACTGTGGATCAAAATGTTCGAATTCTTTACAAGAATATTTTCCTTATGCGAAAATATCTCATGGAGGAATATTTTGAAAGATGGAAAAATAAAAATATTCAAATAAAGAAGAATAGAAAACAATAAGAGAAAATTGTCTTGTATATTGTTGTAGGAAAAGAAAATCTCTAGAAAGGTGAAAATGATTGTGTAATAAGTAGTAATCTGTGAAATAGATTAATTTTTTTTGAATAAATATCTGTATAATGTATTGGTTTGGTAGATAAGTTGTGCAAGTTTTCTTTTTTTTTGTTTAGTACTGAATTTATTTTACGAGAAAGATATGTAAGATCAATCAAAAATATCATTGCCATTATTTTCCACAATGTTAGTTTATCTTACTGGTAATTATTCGATCTCAGCTTTGTAGAAACTGGCTGGTTATGATTTGAAAAATGGGTAGTGAACTCGTCATCGAGATTATCGAATTTTTCGTAATATTTCTCGCATATATTGTTTCAAAGAAATCGAAGCAAACAATAATCTGATAGTGTAAGAGCTGATGACTAGAGCGGATGTGCAGAAACTTCCGATGTCAACTGTTCAATTTTCTTTGCAACGTGTAGTTTTTTATTTTCATGAAGGCGAATAACATCTATTCGATTTGCCAAGAGTGGTCACTTTTAAAGTAGAAATTCATGTAAGCAGTGCAATTGTTGCAAGTATACATTATCAATAATTATTTTTACTGATATCTAAGAGTTCGAAATATATAACACATTTCATATTCAACCTTATGCACAAAATTGACTTGTATGGATGCAAGTCTATTTTTGCCTTCAATAATGGTTTTATTTCTACAGGTGACATCTACGTGTCAAATCCATTTTTCACCTGCCGTAATAAGTTGTTCAAAAAATATTTTATGATTTTGTTCGGAGAACAGTGGAAAGTAAACAAATACTTGCTAAGACAAGTTGTTCGCGGATAATGGACATGGAATCAAGTTCTGTATTTATTGACCTTGCCGAAAGCGTGAAGATGACGACGGTTCAGTGTTATATAAGAGCAGTTGAGTTGGAGTTCACGTTGAGAGTTACTAGTGCATCGATTTGACAATAGTGAGCAGACAATCGACATAAAAAGTATGGCATAATGAGGTTTTAATTTTTGGTAATGACTGATAAAAGATTTTCTGTTTTTATTGAAATATAAAATAGTATTTTGAGATTTTCTGCGGGTTTATTAAATTTATATACATGACAAGCTAAACTGATAGTTAAGTGACTGATCAAACACGAAAATAAAAGCAAAAAAACAATTAACGATTTAATAGCAACAAAATAAATAGTGTCTAGTGTATCAGTAGTGACGACACCAGACCTTTTAGTTAGACGATGAAGTCTTCGTATGCAACAACCGTTAGCAATAAACATGAAAATTTTTAGAAAGAGGAAGGTCACGCTATCAATAAGTACCAGCAAGAACCAAGCAAGGAATTTCTATTTCAAGCGTAAAAATGAATAAAATAGAATGGTCTTCTGATAAATGATTGTAGTTACAGGTTATCATCATTGATTAAATTTTGTTAAGTTAATCCATTTCAACATATTATAATGTTGATGAAGACGATATTGAAGTTTAATATATTGAGCAACTTCAGTTTTTCGTTATGCAATTGTATATGAGATGTGTATTATTATACTATGGATGTATACTGATAGCTTTCGAACGTATTACAATATGTAGAGAATTATGAATAATTTTTAAAAATTTGAAATAACAAAATTCACTTGAGAAATTCCAATCAAAGCTTTTGTATTCTATTTAAACTGAGATTACAACAACTATTTTCGTCTTATCTTTATCAATAATGTCTGAATGAAATTGTAATACAATCATAAGTATTTTTAAAATTATTTTTGTATTTACGATCCTCAGATTAGATGAAAAATTTTCATAGATAATCAGCAAATTTTCATTCACAAGTCTAATAACTTAGTAAGAAGCGATGATGATCAAAAAGATTATTTTTTTTGTATTGGGTTTTTACAGAAAAAAGGAACTTCAAATGGAATAGCTCTTAGTGCAATCTTTGCAGGATTAAAAGGTGAAACAGAGTAGCAACTGTGGCTACTCACAACTAGGCTGTTCTATTCTCTCTATTTTGAGATATATTTTCTTTAGCATCCTGCTAACTAATACTCTAGAAATGCAACAACGTCGGTTATAGTCAATGGGAAGAGCAAGGTCTTTATTCTTATACTCCAATATTATTTTTAGATCCTACTTTACAGAAGATCAACTAGGCACTTAAGAGAGAGTCCACGAGAGGACCGACCAAGCCGGCCGCCAATAAAATTTTGATTTTCGATTTAACTATCTAAAACGATAGACCATCATTAGGAGTTCCTAAATCCAAAATATCAGATCTTTCTGACATTCCTGTCAAAAACGCCAGATCATGCAAGTGACACACCCTTCGAGACTTGGTCAAAAAATCGCTATTTTTCAGTGCTCGTAGTATTTTACACTTTTCTCAGCATCCAAACATTTCTGGAAGTTTGGGGACGTCTCAAAAGATTCAGAAATGTTTTCTCTACAAAATTTACTAATTCAGTATATTCTACAATGCTATTTATCAAGTGGTAGTCTTCAAATACGAGTAAAATGACGATTGCCTAAAAATGAAGATTTTTCATAATATTGACACTAGCCATGCTGAACAATGCTGTCCCAAAATAATTTTTCTTTTTTCAGAAAGTCCTTGGAATTCTGCATTGTTTAAGATATAACTCAAAAGGTTTGAACCTTGGTAGCAAAAGTTAGTCTGGACCGCAAACAGTGAGGGGTAGTGCACATTTCTATCCATTGGGATCCATAATGAGAATAATACATATTTTATATTCATTCAAACCAAAAATATGATTTCAGATTCGTAATCAGCATACAAAATTGAGTATAGAAACCTAGTTTCGTTAAATGAAAGGTAAATGAAAAAGAAATTATCCTATCCAGTACAAATAACTGCACGATACCTCAAAGTATAGTTTTATAGATGTCTGTATGGCTGTTCATGAAGAGCAATGGAACAAAATGTTGCGCCTCACATAGAATCGCTGAAGTATTAGCTTCGAAAGTATCTGTTGATGTGTCTTTATATATTGTAGAGTTGCCGAGAAAATCAGACTTCTTTGGTTGTTGGTAGCACAAAAGGTATAAAATTGCAAAAAACGGGGGTCTATGTTCGATGGCTTTCACCATTATAACTAATTCCAATAGCGAAATGAATAGCATATTCGGAATCAGCACAAAAAACTACGTCGGAAAACATATTTTTTTAGAAAAATTTTTTTTTCATGAAAAATCGACCCTGATGGGACCACAAGATTTTGAAAAAAAAGCGCTGAATGGGGCCCTTGGACAGTTGGAACATGTTCCTGGGCGAATATTGGCGGGATTTGCTCGAATCTGGTGCTAACTTCACCTACGTCTCCTTTCTAGAGCAGCAACAACAGCAAGGGAAATCATATTTTCGCTTTCAGGATGATATAGTTCTGACTACCAGACTGCTATCAGAACAGATCGGGGAACTATTAACAGAACTAAATAAAAAGGATCCCAACATAAGTATCACTTGGAAAGGAGGCAAAGCGATTGAGTATCTCGATGTAAAAAAAACTATAGAAAGCTCTAACTTCAGAACAACGGTCTGTTGACAATTGGCAATACAACCCTATATTCTTCCATTTCTTTCATCACACCCTCTCCACATCGCTAGCAACATACTGTATGCAGCTGTTCTACGAATAACTCGCATATGCTCCCACTCCGAAGATCTCCGATGTGAGCTAGAAAAAATTAGAATTACGTTACTTTTGAGTAAATATCCACCTCATTTTATAGACAAGCAAATAGGACGCTTTTTTAATGATCTAATAGAAGAAAACACTTCAAAGACACTACTGGGCAACAAATATCAGAAACTGAGAGAAAAAGTACTGAATTTAAAGTGAGAGAAGAAAGAAAAATACTGCATTTCTCATATGTTCTATCTTTGGCTAATTTTAATTCTCACTTTCTTCAAAGCTGGCAAGAGATATTCGAAGGAACAACGCTAGATGACATACCCGTCCTATATGCGAATAGACTCACGGATAGTGTAAAACACCTATTAGTAAAAAAGAGATCTAGTAAAGAAACCATTAAATTTCCTTCGATTCCAATACATAACAGTAAATGAACATTATCGTTCGCACTGTATGTGACCTTGAATTTTATGAAGTTTCTTCAAAAATGAAATATCTCACCTTAGGGCATATGAACTCTCTTCGAATACAGTAATCCAATACTTCGCTCCCAATATTTCATATTCTCTAATCACCTATAATTTTCGTATTTATTTCTATTTCAAAAATTGCATCTTACCTATACGTATAATTTTTCTTTTTTTCTATTACAGATGTTTCATCTTGCCTACATGTCGTTTAGGACTGGCATCACGCATTATCTATTGCTTGACAAAGAAATACTTCGGAAGCCCTTGCGTTAATAAAACTTTATTTATGTATTTATTTATTTATCTATTTGTTTTCACTTTCTTTTCTTGATGATTGTTTCTATTCTTTGTTTTTCTTGCTATTCTTCATATCTCTTTTTCATTAAAAAAATCAAAACTAAAAAAGAAAAAATAAATAGTTGCAAAAAAATACGTGGTGATTTGTCAAATACAAAGAATTGGTAACGTAATCAAAATTAAAGTAAATTACTTTAAGCTGTAAAATTAAAGTTAAAACAAGCATTCTTTAAATTTAACTTTAAAAAAATTAGAGTCAACGTAGAATTTTTCACAAAACTGACTTTTTTTCACTTCAATTTCGTTGATTATAAAAAAAAGTAATTTATTGCCAAAAAAAATCTACTTGAACTTTAAAATAGAATAAAAGTGCCAGTTCTAACGATTAGACTGTCATATCTTACATATACGCCACAAGTCTTGGAATGCGTTCAATTAGCAAGTAAGTTGTAATTAAGAAAGATCTTAATGTTACATATTGTAAGATTTTATGCCAGTAAACCAAACTTTTTTGAATTATTG